GCTGTAGTGTAGACGTACCCTAAGTTAGTTCGAATTAGCGCTGTAGTGTAGACGTACCCTAAGTTAGTTCGAATTAGCGCTGTAGTGTAGATGTACCCTAAGTTAGTTCGAATTAGCGCTGTAGTGTAGATGTACCCTAAGTTAGTTCGAATTAGCGCTGTAGTGTAGATGTACCCTAAGTTAGTTCGAATTAGCGCTGTAGTGTAGATGTACCCTAAGTTAGTTCGAATTAGCGCTGTAGTGTAGATGTACCCTAAGTTAGTTCGAATTAGCGCTGTAGTGTAGATGTACCCTAAGTTAGTTCGAATTAGCGCTGTAGTGTAGATGTACCCTAAGTTAGTTCGAATTAGCGCTGTAGTGTAGATGTACCCTAAGTTAGTTCGAATTAGCGCTGTAGTGTAGATGTACCCTAAGTTAGTTCGAATTAGCGCTGTAGTGTAGATGTACCCTAAGTTAGTTCGAATTAGCGCTGTAGTGTAGATGTACCCTAAGTTAGTTCGAATTAGCGCTGTAGTGTAGATGTACCCTAAGTTAGTTCGAATTAGCGCTGTAGTGTAGATGTACCCTAAGTTAGTTCGAATTAGCGCTGTAGTGTAGATGTACCCTAAGTTAGTTCGAATTAGCGCTGTAGTGTAGATGTACCCTAAGTTAGTTCGAATTAGCGCTGTAGTGTAGACATACCCTCCATGACTGTTCCACTTGCTCTTCACCACAGAAAGGTTCCCCAGGAATCCACAGGGTTCCTGTGGATTTGGGGTTCTGTACGAGAGAAGAGTGAGGGGACCCCGGACTTGCTAAGAGCTGAGAGGGAGGAGAAGGCCTCCCCCGTGGGGAATTGGTGGTGGACTATGTCCTGGCTTCCTAAGAAAAATTTGCTGAGCTCCTAGGCCTTGGGGACCAGCGTTGCCCCTTGTTGGAATGTATTCCCCTGAGCAGCTAACACCAGCCCAGAACAGGGAGTTCAGAGAGGTACTGCATTCCCACTCACCTAGCACTCAAGCAGAGAGAGATGGGAGCCCATCCCGCTCTGGCTCCACCCTGAGCCCTCGCCCTGAACCCACCCCCAGACCTCGTGCCAGGGCCCGGAAGAAGGCCCGGCCTTGGCCACAGCTGGACCTCATGCTGGGATCGGGGAAAGTATCCATCACCCTCCCCCACCAAAGATAGGTGGTGAAACCAGGAGCTATGGCCTGACCAACCCCCACCCCACACAGGACAGGCAGAGGGTCCAGAAACTACAGTTTGGTCTGGCCACCCTCCCAGGACAAGTGGGGGGGGCACCGGGAGCCATGGCCTGCCCCCTCTTAGGACAGAAGGTGGACTGAGTGTCACAGCCCTTCCTGCTCCCCCTGTTGGACCGGCTCCACATGGAACATTGGCGGGACCACGAATCATGGCTCCCCACCCCCAAAGCACATGCCAGGGTCTGGCTCAGTGCCCCTCCCCCCAAAGAAGACCCCCGCAGGACTAGGAATTGCAGATCCACCCTTCCTGGGGAAGATGTCAGGAATAGGAACGGTGCCACAGCCTAACCCCCTCCCACACATGGAGGAGACAACCGGCCCAGAGAAGACTTCAAGGCTGAGCACTTCAGCCTGGCCCTCTCCCTGGACCAGTGACATCTTGGCCACCCCAGGAAGCCATGTTGGGCCCCCCCCATGGCTCCCTGCCTCCTGCCCAGATCCCCCATCCTTGCCCTAAGGCTCATCTCATACCAACCAAAAAACAGGACAATGTAGCACTTTAAAGACTAACAAGATGGTTTATTAGATGATGAGCTTTCGTGGGCCAGACCCACTTCCTCAGATCAAATAGTGGAAGAAAATTGTCACAACCATATATACCAAAGGATACAATTAAAAAAATGAACACATATGAAAAGGACAAATCACATTTCAGAACAGAAGGGGCTGGGGGGGGGGAGGTAAATGTCTGTGAGCTAATGATATTAGAGGTGATAATTGGGGAAGCTATCCTTGTAATGGGAAAGATAACTAGAGTCTTTATTCAAACTTAGGTGTAAAGTGTTGAATGTAAGCATGAATGACAGTTCAGAGGATTCTCTTTCAAGAGTAGTCTGAAAAGGCCTTGGTAGCAGGATTCAGGTAGTTAAGTCATTGAGACAATGTCCTTTCTGGTTGAAATGGCAAGAAACTGTTTTTTCTTTGTGATCCTGTCTGATATCTGTTTTGTGGGCATTGATCCTTTGGCGAAGTGTCTGAGACGTTTGTCCAATGTACAAAGCAGACGGACACTTTTGGCACATGATAGCATAGATTATATTTCTGGGTGCGCAGGAATATGTGTACTTGATCTTATAACTCACTTGGTTAGGTCCAATAATGGTTTCAGCAGAGTGAATAAGGTCTGGACAAAGCTGGCAACAGGGTTTGTTGCAAGGGAAGGTACCAGGGTTGGTATTAGTGTGGTATGTCCTGTTGTTGTTGGTAAGAATCAACTTGAGGTTAGGAGGTCATCTTACCAGGGTTGGTATTAGTGTGGTATGTCCTGTGGTTGTTGGTAAGAATCATCTTGAGGCTAGGTGGTTGTCTATAGGAGACTATGGATCTGTCTCCCAGAGCCTCTCGGAGTTTGGAATCCTGTTCCAGTATAGGCTGTAGTTTATTGATAATGTGTTGGACAGGTTTAAGTTGGGGGTTGTAGGTGATGACAAGTGGTGTTCTATTGTTGGTTTTCTTGGGTTTGCTGTCCCTCATCGAGTTAGACAAGCGAGCGGGGAACTCCTGAGAACTGTCTGTCCGGGGTGGGGGTCGGGTCCCTTTAAGCACAGCCCTCGGTTAGCCTGAGACAGCAGCTCCACGCTCCAAGTCCTCATCTGATGCCCTGCTGTCACTGATTCCGGCCAGCCTTAACCTCGGTTCAGGGTCCACTCAATGTGGACATGCTGGTTCGAATTAGCAAAACGCTAATTTTCTAGGTATTTGTCTGGCTCTTTCAATTTGCTTTTTTATTTCTCCTGGTGAAACCTCAACTACCCACCTCAGGCAGCAGCCACACACACTAAGACCTAATCTGATGCCCTGCCAGCACTGGTTCCAGCCAGCCTTAACTTCGGTTGAGGGTCCACTCAGTGTGGACGCGCTATTTCAAAATAGCAAAATGCTATTTCGAAATAGTTTTTGTGTGTAGATGCGCTATTTCAAATTCGGTTGGACATCAGGAAAAGCTTCCTCCCTGTCTGGGTGGTTAAACTCTGGAAAATTGCCTAGGGAAGTTGTGGAATCTCTATCTTGAAAGATATTTAAGAGCAGATTAGACAGACCTCTATCAGGAATGATCTAGAAGGTGCTTGGTCCTGCTATGAGGGCAGGAGACCGGACTCGGTGACCTCTCGAGGGCCCTTCCAGTCCTAGCATTGTATGACTCTATGATTCAATAAAGAAGCCGAGGATGCAATCACAAGCACTGAAGGACATTTCAATTCTTGGAAAATAACCTCCACCCAGTCAATTTTTTCATTGCAGCTTTAATCTCCTTGTTCCTCAGGCTGTAGATGACCGGATTCATTATGGGAGGCACCACGGCATAAAGAACACCCACCACCAGATCCAGACTTGATGCTGAGCTGGAGGTGGGTTTCAAGTACTCAAATAAAGCAGTGCAAAGTAACAAGGAGATCACAGCGAGGTGGGGGAGGCAGGTGGAGAAGGCTTTGTGCCGGCCCTGCTCCGAGGGGATTCTCAGCACCGCTCTGAAGATCTGAACATACGACACAATGATGAAAACAAAACAGTTTAAACCTAGAATCACACCACAGGCAAGAAGTCCAACCTCACTCAGGTAGGAGTCGGAGCAGACCAGTTTGAGGAGCTGGGGGATTTCACAGAAGAACTGGTTGATGTCATTGGACTGGCAGAAGGGTAAAGTGAAGGTGTTCCCGGTGTGCAGAACAGAGTAGACAATACTAGTGATCCAGGCACTAGCTGCCATTTGGACACAGGCTCTCCTGTTCATCACTCTCTCGTAGTGCAGCGGGAGGCAGATGGCGACGTATCGGTCGTAGGCCATGACGGTGAGTAAGGCAAGATCTGTTGAAATGAAGACGACAAAGAGAAAGACTTGGGCGACACAGGCAGGGTAGGAAATCAACCTAGAGTTCAGGAGGGAGTTGACCATGGATTTGGGGACAGTGACTGAGATGGAGCCGAGGTCTAGGAGAGACAGGTTCCCCAGGAAGAAGTACAAGGGGGTGTGCAGACGGTGGTCACAGACTATGGCTGTGATGATGAGAAGATTCCCCACCAAGGCAGCCAGGTAAAGCACCAGAAACACCACAAAGTGCAAAACCTGCAGCTCCCGGATATCTGAGAACCCCCGGAGCACGAACTCGGTCACGGTGGTTCGGTTGGGCATTTCCTTCTCTGTGATATCTGTGGAGGGAAGGACAAAGACAGTGGTGAGGTTCAGAGAGGCCAAGTGCTTCCCCTTGGTACTGACTGACCCAGAGGCCCTCGTCTCTCGTCAGCTGCATTCACCATGAGCGGTGAGTTATCCCGGGCCCATTGGCCTGACTCCTGTACCGTCCAGGGATCTGCATCTGAAGATCAGGCGCAGAACGGGGCTGGGTCTAATGCTGTGTGAAGGCTGGAACAAAGCACAATCCCAGGGCAGCAGCTCTGGCCGAGATGGCTCCCTGCTTGCTACAAACAGCAGGCCCTGAGCTGGGTCATGAAACTAAAATGCTGACACTTTCTGCAGCAATCTGACTCACTCAGGAGCTTGCACGCCCGCTCCAATGGAATGGTTCTGCTCTAACGCCGCGGGGATGTCCGGCTCCCGGCTTACGCACTAATCATAGAATCAGAGAATCCTAGGACTGGAAGGGACCTCGAGAGTCATCGAGTCCAGTCCCCTGCCCCCATGGCAGGACCAAATACTGTCTAGACCATCCCTGATAGACATTTATCTAACCAACTCTTCAATATCTCCAGAGATGGGGATTCCACAACCTCCCTGGGCAATTTATTCCAGTGTTTGACCACCCTAAGTGAGCAGACAGGATCCCATCTCCATCTCCGTGTACCCTTGGGCTCGTAATAGTGTGAGCATATTTCCCTAGGCTGAATATAGGACACCTGGTCAAATGACTCATCCTAAAGTTCAACGGCAACCGATCGTACAAACATTCAAATGGACATCGAGTGGACTGACCGGTTGAAGGAAAAGCCGTGTAGCTGGAGGCTTTGTATTGACTTTCTGATCTTTGAGGTTTTAGGGATCAAACACGGAGACGTGATGCCCCCCCACACACCTGCACCCCTCTCTCCCAGGGGAGGTAACTGGCTGACCCAACCCTGCCTTCTGCCTGCCTGCCTTCCCCCTCCGCCCTCCACGCCTGGCTGGGCTGCCTGGACGGACCCACTTTTCCTGGTACCTGCCATAGCGTCATCTTGGGGCAACATGTGGGAGTGAGTATGTGTGTGTGGGGGGGGAGGGGGACAGCTCATGCCCCCTCACCAGATTCCTGTCATGGGTGTCCCCAGAGTGCAGCTGGCAGCAGTGTTTTGGGCCCTGTGTGGGGGGAAGGGATGGGACCTGCTTCCAGCCACAGGAGGGGAGTGGAAAGGAGAGGAGGAGAAAGGATGATCAGGCAGAGCTCATCTCTTCTCCTCCTCCCCCTGCCACCCCACCCCTGTGGCTGGAGGCCCCTTGGCCCTTCCTGTCCGGACAATGTTTAAAGGCAGCTCAGACCTCCAGGCTGCTGCTGGCCACCAAGATAACCCAGCTGCCTCCTCTCCCCTGGCTCCAGTGCGGGGAGGACGGGGTTAAGCCCTAAGGATGCCTTGGGTACCAGGGATCAGGGAGGTGGCTCAGCAGGGCAGGGAGCCCAGGGTACGGAGCATGACCCCGTGGAGTGAGGTAGAAGGGGTGAGGAGGGTGCTGAGTCCCTGCTCCAGGGGCTGCCGTGGAGCCTGCAGGTTCAGGATGAGAA